TAATGTGCGTGGTTAGAAATTTGATAACGTCGGTTCACATCAAAAGTTAGAATGTTAAATCTATTGCCCACACAGTTTTGAGAATTTGCATACGTATTATGAAACTTTCACGAGTGTTGGATAAATTTAAAAGTGTGTACATATAAACATTTACGTGTTCATCGTGTTAAATTCTGATCATCTTCCTCATTTGGTTAGTCATTTTTTTTTCATATCTAACCCTAAAATCTTGACAATTTAATCAATAATCTCAAATTTTGCCATCGAAACTGAGTCATTTCATCAAGATAAATCAAATTGCATTAAACATAATTGGAGTTATCATTTTGTATTTTTTGGCTATTATTTAGAGAGTTTTTTCTCTTTTAAAATTTTGTATCTCGGTTTTTTTTTGTTACATTCATTTGTTTATGAGTGTACATAGTAAGTCTTTTTGTTTTATGATTGTAGAAACAAATCATACTAATGCTGTTTTTTGTCATTAACGGTCAGTTTTGTGTTACAACCTCCAATCTGATTCGTTTTATTGGTCATATATATGTTAGTTCAGTTCAATGTGCTCTATACGGATCTAATTTGTGCTAGGTCCTCTGTTTTTGTTTGGTTTGCTACTTACTTCATCGGTTTAGGCATTTAGCATGTGATTCTTCTAATGGGTTTGGTTAGAGATTATATGTATAAGTCATGTTACTTGTGTAGGTACCAAAGTCGTTCTAATCACCTAAACTTCTGAGAATTGTATTTCTTTATGTTCATATATTTGGCTTGTTATTATATCTGCCTAATCCAACAGTAATTTATATGTTTTTAGTAATTAACAATCCAAGTAAATGACTAAATTGGAAGTGAATAAACAGTTACTTTGGAACTCCCAAGGATAAAATAAAATACATAAATGGTTGGAAAGTTTTAGCATTATTACTTACCAATTACGTTCCTCCTCCTTATACCATCTGGCCATCCCGCACCAGCTGTTTAAGAGCGCCGGCGTGACAACATTGGTCACGTGTGATTAGATAACTAAGGTTTACAATTTTTTTGTTCCATTGGGAAACTAAAATGTGTGTGTTTTAAAGAACAATTACACTAGGAGACATTTTATTGTGAATAGTTAACACTTTGAGACATTTTAAGAGCATGTACAATGCTAGATACATGTTTTGTGTTCTTAAGACATATTTTATTATTAATTTAGGATTATGATTGGTTAAGAACCAANTTTGTGTNCTTAATTTACAATGGTGGAAACATGTTTTGTGTTCTTAACAAAATTTAAAAATTTAAAAATTTAAAATTTTGAAATAAAATTTATTTTAGATAGAAACAGAGATTACATGAAAACATTTAAACCATAGATTTTCAAATCATTAACGAAAAGGAACCGTGAATTCTAATCTTGACGTTGATGTGAATCCGCCGATTATAAGACGATTCCATATGCTTCCATACCAAATCGACTATCCACGACTCGATCCCGTCATGATTTGAGGCGAAAAATCGTTCTATTTGGTTGAATCTATGAAGATTTCAAGCTGGAAGTCGAAAC